TTGAAGTCTACTTGTTCCAACTTTTCTTAAGCCCTGCTGGTATTCATAATACCTCTTTCTCCCATTCTTCCACAAGCTCATTTTAGAAGCTACCTGTTTTTGTCACAACCATAACAAGTTTTTACTTAGATTTCCTTCTTAGAAGGTATATATATGCTAGAGGCAGTGGCAAAACTGTCTTGCTCCACCTCTAAGCCAAGGGCTGATTATCAGAGATAGGCAGAGAGGATTATCAAGGCTTAATGTGGGATACACTTGCCACAGAAGTTTGTCAAAGGCTTTTTTTTTTTTTTTTGCAATGCTAGGAATGGAACCTAGGCCTTGTGCAAGCTAACCAAGCACTATACCACAGAGATGCACTCCCAGCCCCTATCAGTATTTTTATTAATGAAAAATAATTTTTTACATTCTTTATTTTTCTTATTAATATTCCTGTTAAAGTATGAATTGCATTTAAATTTTATATGAAAAATTTCAAAAGTAATGGGAACTGTATTTATAAGCCCTTTGTACTCATTGTCAGCCTCAGTTACCAGCTCATGCTGGTTTTGTCTGTCTGTGGCTCCATCTCAGCCTCTGGAGTATCTTGCAGCATGAAATACCTTTTTATCTTGATACACTTTCCCTCCCTCCCTTCCTTCTCCGTTTTTCTTCTTCTCCTTTGTTTTTTCAGTACTGGGGATCAAACCCAGGGCCTTGTGCATGTTAGGCAAACACTTAACCACTGAGCTAGCCCCCAAATGGGATTTGTTTATTTATTTATTTATCTATCTATTTTGTGGTTCTGGGTTTGAACCCAGGGCCCTTTGCTTGCTAGGCAGACACTCTACCACTTGAGCCACTCCACCAGCCAGGAACACAGTTTTAATAGACTGAAAGTGGGTCATCTCAAGAATGAGAACGAAAAAAAAAAAAATGAGAACAAGAACTACCTGTCCATTGGTTTTGAGAACAGAGTGACTGCTGGTCTTATCTCATGGTCAGGTACGGAGCATAGAGTCTTAGAAGATAATAGAATGGAGAGACATGTAGCAGTGTTTCAGACTTTTTAAAGTGTAGGATGGTACTTTAGAATCTGCACAGAAGCCTGTACTGGGTGTACCAGTACTTGCCTGTGGTTCCAGTTATTCAGGAGGCAGAGGCTGGAGGATGGCTGGAGCCCAGGAATTTGTGGCCAGCTGGGCAGCATAGCAAGACCCCATCTTAAAAAAATGGGTGGTGGTCTGTGGGGTGTAGCTTAGTGGTAGAGTGCTTACTTAGCACTCTGGAGACCCTGGACTCAACCCACAGCACCACAAAAAAAGTGGGAGATGAGGGAGGTCACACTACCAAAATGATGTCCCCTCCAGTGCTGTGTTTAGGTCAAGTGTGCAATAAGTCATAGCCTAGCAAGTGATGACACTGACCATCATCAGCAAACTGAGCAACAGTACATGCTTGCAGTGTTCTCATCAGAAGTGCAAGTCAGTACTTTTGACCCTCTTGCCCAGCTGTCTGAGTAACACTAATTGTGCTTGTGATAGCTGGAGTGTGGTGAGATGGGAATGCTGGATCACTGCTGCAAGGGGGTGAAAGTAAAGGTGTTCTAGAAAAATAACTTGTTGATCCATGTCAAGGGCCTTTACTTCTACTGTTTAGCTAAGTGATCACAATTTGTTGAACCTTTGGTTTGTTCAGGTATCTAGTGCCACTACTGCAGTTTCTGACATACAAGTCAGAAGCGTGGTTGTAGACTTTATGTTAGTGGTTACCAGACCCAGGATGGATGAGGAGTGCTCAGTCTCTTGTGAGAGCTAGAGAATGGCATGGTAGGGAATTGTGACATGCCTGATAACTCCAGCTCTGCCACTCAATTGCTGTGTGACTCTGGACATGTAAACTACCTGGCTCAGTTTCATTCCCTGCATCTTACACTGTCATCTCAATGGCTTTGCAAACACTTTGCTTCCCATCCCTCAGTCCTGCAGTACCACAAAGCCTCCACCTGCACTTGAGCAGTCACTGTGAGGTCTGACAATCACAGAATTGTTATCTCAAGAGGTCAGACTCCCGACATTGCCCACTGGCCCCAGCTTCTACCCCTCTCTGCTGGTCCCACATTTACCATATGGTCCACTGCTCTTACTGCCATTTCCTGCAAACCCCCTTTCTGACCACTGACCTCTGCCTGGCTCAGGCCCTTGAGCAGTATTTTCTCTGGCCTGTGTATCTGTTGGTGTCTCCTTATTTTGTCCACTTAGATGGCCATTGGGCTTCTTTGCCTCATATGAATGTGGTTGGCTGGGCATGGTGGTGCACACCTGTAATCCCAGCACTGGGGAGGCTGAGGCAGGAGGATCTTGAGTTTGAGGTCAGCCTGAGCTGAAACCGTCTCAAAAAAACAGGGGGAGAAAAAAAAAAAAGGTGTTAGCAGGTGGTATGGTACCTATAAGCTGGCGGAGGAGGTGTCTAGCTTTTGATTTGTTATGATGTGAGAAGCATAACATCAATCAAAAGAATAGTTTCATCATATTCTTAGCAACTTCTTCCAAAGCACACCAAAGGGCTTGATGTGACAGCTACAGGAAGAAAGTGTATTCCAGTCAGAAATTGTAAAATTTGAGGCTGAAGGCTTGGCTTTCAATGGTAGAGCACCTACCTAGCAAGCATGAAGCCCTGAGTTCAAACTCCAGTACTACCAAAAAATAAATCGTTTTTCAAAATTTGTAGGATTTTAAAAAATGATTTCAGTCTTCAGAAACTCATGAAGGTGGCAGTAGAAATGTATAACAGAAGCAGAAACCGCCGGTGGACATTTTGAAACCACCTCTGAGAGAAGACTGTTTGAACTTGTTTTTTTCTTAGCTGTCCTGTAGAAGCAAGCATCTCATTCTTGATCCTGGAGAACATTAAATACAAAAATACAGCTCTGAACTTTTGCCCTATTAATGCTGTCAGTGTCCTGGTGAAAGCAGGTGTGGGGTTCCTTTGGAGTGACTGTTGACTACCATTCTACCATTTGCAATAACTCTGAAAGATTTAGCAAGTCTTCAGTGAAGGTGACAATCTGTGTCCTAGGATAGTTTGTTTTCCATGCTGAATAAGGAAGATTTTTATCAGAAAAATTTTTGAAGAAAGTCTACAGATTTGACACATTTTCTCTTTCTACCCAAACTTGCTAATATTTGTGTGCAACCCTTTTACTTCATTTACAGCCATCTTTATACTTCATCTTTACTGCTTTGGGAATCTCTTTTTGGAAGATCAGTGTTGGGACTCTAACCTTCATTAAAACTTTTTGACTCCCATTATTTAGGGAATTTTTTACCTTTTCACAACTGAATTTTACAATACTGTGTTTCTCAAAATCATTCACTTCTGAACTCTTTGATTTAGCCCTATTCCCACCCCACACTGTTGACATTGTTTTTTGTTGTGTTTTACTTTTGAGCCAGGAGCTTGCTATGTTGCTCAGGCTTATCTCAGAACTCCTGGGCTCAAACAGTCTTCTTGCCTCAGTGTCCTGAGTTCTGAGAGAGAGGACTGTGGGCGCATGCCGCCACCACTGTGTCCAGCTTGATGCTGTATTTTTATAAATTCTTTCTAAGATTCTTAGGGAAAGACCCTTTACCCCTTTAGGTGAGGAAGAAAGGAGGGACTTTTTGACTGTCTATCTATTTATTTATTTATTGATTGATTGATTGATTGCCATACCGGGGCTTGAACTCAGGGCCTACCCCTTGAGTCACTCCACCAGCCTTTTTTATTTATTTATTTTCAAGAAAGTCTTTTAATGCTCTAAAGTTTATATTACTGGTGACCAGATATTTCTTTTTATTTTTTTATTATTCATATGTGCATACAATGCTTGGATCATTTCTCACCCCTGCCCCCACCCCCTCCCTTACCACCCACTCCGCCCCCTCCCTCTCTCCCCCACCCTCTCAATACCCGGCAGAAACTATTTTGCCCTTATCTCTAATTTTGTTGAAGAAACCGTATAAGCAATAATAGAAGGAACAAGGGTTTTTTGCTGGTTGAGATAAGGATAGCTATACAGGGAGTTGACTCACATTGATTTCCTGTGCGTGTGTGTTACCTTCTAGGTTAATTCTTTTTGATCTCACCTTTTCTCTAGTTCCTGGTCCCCTTTTCCTATTGGCCTCAGTTGCTTTTAAGGTATCTGCTTTAGTTTCTCTGCATTGAGGGCAACAAATGCTATCTAGTTTTTTGGGTGTCTTACCTATCCTCACCCCTCCCTTGTGTGCTCTCGCTTTATCATGTGCTCAAAGTCCAGTCCCGTTGTTGTGTTTGCCCTTGATCTAATGTCCACATATGAGGGAGAACATACGATTTTTGGTCTTTTGAGCCAGGCTAACCTCACTCAGAATGATGTTCTCCAATTCCATCCATTTACCAGCGAATGATAACATTTCGTTCTTCTTCATGGCTGCATAAAATTCCATTGTGTATAGATACCACATTTTCTTAATCCATTCGTCAGTGGTGGGGCATCTTGGCTGTTTCCATAACTTGGCTATTGTGAATAGTGCCGCAATAAACATGGGTGTGCAGGTGCCTCTGGAGTAACCTGTGTCACAGTCTTTTGGGTATATCCCCAAGAGTGGTATTGCTTCCACCAGCCCTTTTTGTGTTAGGTATTTTCAATAGAGTCTTGTGGTCTGTTTGCCCAGGGCTGGCTTCAAACCGTGATCCTCCTGATCTCTGCCTCCTGAATAGCTAGGATTACAGGTATGAGCCACTGGTGCCCGGTGTGGACTGAGCTCTTGAGTCAATTTGGAGCATTGATCCAAAGTGCTAGTTCCACAAATGGAACTAGTATCTTCCTTCATCCTCTTCACAACCCTGCCTTATTGTCTTGCCAAGAATACTGTTTATCATCAGGACTCCCTGGGTGCTAGGAACCCTGCTGTTGGGCTGTGTAGAATGGCTATGCAATGGGTGATTGCTCTGTGTTGGTGTTTCCTCAGCTCACTGTGCTTTCTCCTTTCCTCCTGTAGTTTGAAGGATGACCTCTAGGAAGAAAGTGTTGCTGAAGGTTATCATCCTGGGAGATTCAGGGTAAGTGTCTCTCATGAATTTGAGCTGTCATTTGCAGAGCCTACCCTTGCAGGCTGGCTAATGTTAGCACATGATGCTCTGGGCCTTTCTGCTCCCTGGTGTTGGGGCACAGCAGAAATTTGATGATCCCTCGATATGTACCTGTGTACCCTGTTTTTATTTTAGTGCTGAGGAGAGGCTGTTTAATTAACTGTTTTTAAGGATGAGGGGAGACTATTTGAACTTAACTACTGATGGTCATTTTCACAAATCCCCTTTTGTTTTCTTTTTTTTTTTTAATATGGAACACTTGAATTTGAGTGTCTTCCTTGCGCAGGGGCCATGCTAATCTTCTCTGTATTGTTCCAGTTTTAGTGTATGTGCTGCCAAAGCGAGCACCACAAATCCCCTTTTCTCCAAGCTGGCCAGACTGGGGATCTGTTGCCACTGGCATCCTGTGCACCAGATACGGGTTTTGCATGTACTATGTATTGTATTCCTCCTGCTGTGCCTGATTAAGGCCTGTGTGTGGAAGAGCAGGGACAGAGAACTGGCTTCTGATTCCAGATATGCTACTAACCATGTAACATTAACTTTTTACAGGCTCTTAAGATTTTTTGGTTGGCTTTTCAGACTTGGTCTCTCATGTGACCCATGGTTTTGGTTTTTTTTTGTTTTTGTTTTTGTTTTTTGGGTACTGGTGTTTGAACTGAGGGCTTCACACTTGCGAGGAAGGCACTCTCCCACTTGAGCCACACCTCCAGCAGTATTTTAAAAAAATAATAAGCATACTGGAGTTGTGGCTCAGGTAGACAAGGAACTGCCAGACAAGTGTGAAGGCCTCAGTTCAAACCTCAGTACCATACTGTAGCACAAAAAAAAAACAATAAGAAACAGCAGCAGCAGCAGCTACTGTCACTGCCACTATTTTGCCGTGCTGCTAGTGCATACCTGTAGTCCAAGCTACTCCAGAAGCTGAGAACAGTACCAGGAGTTTGAGGCTAGCCTGTACAACATAATGAGGTCCTATCTCAAAGTAATAATAATCAAGGCAGATATGCCCCTGTGTTCCATAGTTCCTTCCCCAGCCTTCAAAAAGCCAGTGATTTTCCTGTGGTGCTGGGCTTATTTGAATTGCTTGAGGAAGCTTTAATGAGTTAACATTTGCCTAGCTCCAGACCAGTGGGATGGGGTCTAGGTACATGCTCCCCTGCACTGTTGCTGTCAGGATTGACAGATACAGCTTTCGGACCTGTGTTGTCCAACCTTGCTTGAAAAGAGTCACCAAGCTCTTGTGGATTTCACTCTCTCCCTTAGAAGTTCTTTTGTTGTTGTTTGCAGCACTAGGGACCCCACACATCCTGGGCACATAAGTACTCTACGCCTCCCCAGACCGCTCCCTCCAAGTTGTGATGCAGGTGGTCTGGGTTGCGTAGCACTGCCTCAGGCTGTGTACGTCCATGTCCTCTGCCTACGAAAATGAACTTGTTCCTTTGTGAGAAAGTGAGGTAATGTTACTGGCTGTAAAGAAGGCTTGTATATTATCTTTAGGTTGCATTATCCTTTTTTTTTTTGGCAGTACTGACTAGGGTTTGAAATCAGGGCCTCATTCTTGCTAGGCAGGTGCTCTACCACTCGAGCCACTCCACCAGCCCTTTTTCAAGTAGGATCTCAAAAACTACTTGCTTGGGCTGGCTTTGAACCATAATTCTCCTGTTGTCTGCCTCCTAAATAGCTAGGATTACAGGCATGAGCCACTGGCGCCTGGCTGGGTTGTGTTATCTTGACCCTGCCCTCACCTTACAAAAAAAAAAATCCCATATCATCTTAGCGAGTTTTCTTACCTTGTAAATAAAACCTCTTTGGAGAAACATGATTTTATTTTTTAATTTTACTTATTTTTTTGAGGCAGCATCTTGCTATGTAGCTGGTGCTCACCTTGAAATTGTGATCCACCTGCCTCAGCCTCCCAAGTGCTGGGATTACAGGTGTGTCCAGTGTGCCTGGCTTGGAGGAGCATGCTTTGTGGTGGGATCTGGTCTTGTTACATACTATTGTTTTCTCAGCTTTGGATCTTAAACTTTTTTTTTTTTTTTGGTGTATGTGAAGGCTACTAGGGTTTAAACTCATGCCTCACACTCTACCACTTGAGCCACTCCCTAAACACTGTATTTTAAAGTTTAAGCAGCATGTCAGCCAAGTAGTGTGCATGTCTGCTTGAAGCCAGTGGCTTCCTCCTGGTATTACTTCATCAAACCGGATAACAACCACTAAATGGAAAAACACCCAAGACTGCAGTGGTATTTTTGGATGTTCCTTTTAGGAGTGTATTTGCTGACATCCTTTGGGAAGGGAGAAGAATAAGAATAGATTCTACCATCTGAGTTGCCTTTACCAAAAACTTAGAAACAGCTTTTCAACATGCAATGCACATCTGTGTCCTGTTTTGTTTTTGTTTGTTTTGCAGTGCTAGGGGTGGAGCCCAGGACCTGGAATATTGCTAGGCAGGCTCCACCCTCCCCTCCCCCTCCCCCCCCCCCCCCCCGCAGCCACACCCTGTATTTTTGTCCCAGGAAAGCACAGAATTCCCATGTGTGACACTGGCACTGCCTTCTGCTGTGCGGTCAAGATAGGCCGGTTCCTTTTAAAGCTGCAGGTGTCACAGTTGTTTTATTCTCTTCCTATTTGACTTAGACTTGTGTTTTTTTTTTTTTCCAATTTCAGTGTTGGTAAGACATCACTCATGAACCAATATGTGAATAAGAAGTTCAGTAACCAGTACAAAGCCACAATAGGAGCAGACTTTCTGACCAAGGAGGTGATGGTGGATGACAGACTAGTTACCATGCAGGTAAGCCACCAGTCAACTGTGTTAGCCAACCTTTGTTAGCTTGTGTAGTCTTAACCCTTTTTTCATTCCTAGACATTTTCTTTCCCTCTTTCTCAAACCCCAGTATTATATTCATGGATAATTGGCTACAGATAGGATTATCAAGTAAAATACAAGTCACCCAGTTTAAATTAGATTATGTGTGTGTGTTGCAGGGAATAGAACACAGGGCCTCATATATGCTAAGCACACACTTCACTGCTGAGCTACAACTCCATCCTGAAATTTGAATTTTGTATCATACTAAGACATACTGAAACTTTGGTAAAATTTAAATTTAATTAGGCTTCTTTTTTCCCCTGTCTCTCGCTCTCTTTTTTTCAGTACTGGATATTGAGCTTTGTGCATGCTAGACAAGCACTCAATCACTTAAGCCATATCATGCCCCCGCCCTTTTGTTTTTGAAATAGGATCTCCCTAACTTAGCCCAGGATGTCCTTGAATTTGAGATCTTTCTGCATTTGCCTCCAGAGTAGCTGGAACCACATGTGGCTAACACTGTACCCCACTAGGCTTCCTTATTTTTTGTTGTCTGTTTAGGATTTTTCTAAATTTGGCATCCTATAGGTTCCTACCTGTGTTCTAAAATGTCTGACTTACCCTTATTTATTTTCCTGATGCTTTCAGTCAGAAATCTTTGTGTTTCTCCTAAATTCTTACAATAAACATTAAGGTAGTTTCCTTATTTTTCTGATTTTTAAAACCTATCCTCTCTGTAGTCTCAGAAGTTGGGTTTCTATTAAGCCAGTCTGGGTCTTTCATGTTACCAGCTTTATCTTCCAAAGGTTTCCCTTTTGAAAACTTCTATACTGGCTATAAGCTTATTTTTTTGTCCACTGAGACAGAGAGAGAGAATGTGTGTGTGACATCCCAAAGAAAAGAATGAAAGAATGTCAGGATTTTTTTTACCTTGTACATTTTTGTCTTGTTTCTTTGTGGTTCACAATACCAGCTGAGGTTGTTGGTACTGTGACACCAAATTAACAGGACAGGAAGAGGCAGATTATTCTGTTGCCTTTTTTTTTTTTTTTTTTGCAGTACTGAGGCTTGAACTCAGGGCCTTCACCTTGAGTCACTCTACCAGCCTTTTTGTGAAAGGTTTTTCAAGATAGGTTCTCACAAACTATTTGCCCAGGCTGGCTTCAAACCTTGATCCTCCTGATCTCTGCCTGCTGACTAGCTAGAATTATAGGTGTGGGCCACCAGCACCCGACGTCTGTTGTTTTTCTCTATGTTGAATTGCACATCAAATCTGAGGCCAGTCACTCCACAGTTGTTGGACCTGCCTGTGATGTGTACAGTGTAACCATGAATCATTATCCTAGTTGGAGGCTGGCATGGCCGGCAGAGTGGCTCAAGCGGGAAGAGAACCTACCTAGCAAGTGTGAGACCCTAAGTTCAAACTGCAGCACCACCAAAAAAACAAAGTCTACTAATTAGAGACTGGCCCATGACTTTAGTATGGCCTTTAAGAACTGGCACCTTGCTTCTCTTCCTTAGCATTGTTGATGTACCTGAGAGCATCAGCCAAGGTATCCATGCACCCCTGTGGCAGCATAGAGTGTGGAAAGAGCTATTATCCCCTTCTTGGTTTCCTGCCAATCCTTAGTCATGTACTGCTCTCACTGACCTGCCTTGTGTGTGTTTCTGCAGCCCACAGGCCCTTTTCTCATATCCACTCCTGTCTTGAAGACTCCAGTGTTTAGCTAGATGGTATCTTTGACACTTGTGTCCCCATAGCGGTTGTTCCTTCCTGTGTCACCCAGATGTCATCCCTGGAAGACCCAGTCTCTAGAGTGTTCTTACGCCTGCTACAGTTCTAGCAAACCTCTGGCAAGGAGCAGGGGCGTGGGAAAATGTGCGAATAATGCAGAATAAAAGTAGATGCTTCAGGCTGGGGGGTGGGGAGGGGGGCTCAGTGGCAGGACACTTGCCCAGCACACGCAAGGCCCTGGGTTCCATCCCAGCACTACAAGGGGAAAAAAGCTTTTACATGTGTTGGCCTCAAGCTGTGGCATACCTCTAGAGCATAAGGGTTCTTAACACCTAATTGACCACACTTCCAGAAGAGACTAATACAGCTCTCCTCATCCTACTCACACATATGCGGAGAGATTTTCAGAATATACCTAAAGTTTAAAGAAGTCAAACTTGGGCCATGGCTCAAGTGCTAGAGTGCTCGAGACCCTGACTTCAAACCCCAGTACTACCAAAAAAAAACTTGGGAGAAAGCAAGGTTCTAGACTGAAGGAACAAAGAGGAAGTGGAAGCAGTGACAGGGTCAGGAGCTCCTGCTGGTTACTGGGTGTTTATAAGACAGAGTGGCTTTCTCAGCCACCTGGGGCATGAGTAGGGCTAGACACCGTGTGGGCCTGAGGAAGGGTGTAAAAGCAGGACTGAGAGACCTGAGGCCAAGGACATAGCAAAGCTTGTGGGAAGCAAATGTGGTGTTTGCCTCCTAGTTGGAGACTTCAGTCCCACTGAGATTCCACCTGTGTGGATGCTAAGTTTGTACTCTGCAAGGATTTAGCATAAACTCCTGTCATTGCTGGCAAAAGCAAAGACCATGCTACAGGGACATTTGATAGATGGACTCATTTCCATTTGAGGAGATAATGTAGTACAAGAATGCTCATAACAACTAGTTTAAAAAAAAAAAGGATAGAAACCATAATGAAAATGGACACCATGAAATGAGGATATGGAAAACTCAGAACTTCAAGAAGTGAGAAAATAGTATTGAAATAAAGTAAACGAACAGTTAAGTTACAGAAAACGGTAAATTTTTTTTTTTTTTTTGTGGCACTGTGCTTTGTACTCAGTGCCTCACACTTGCTAGGCATGAGCTCTACCACATGAGCCACCCCACCAGCCCTTTTTGTGTTGAGTATTTTTGAGATAGGGGCTCTCGAACTAGTTGCCTGAGCTGGCCATGAACCACACCCCTCCTGATCTCTTCCTCCTGAGCAGCTAGGATTACAGCTAGAGCTGAGCACATTTCTTAAAACTTTCAATTGCACAACACCAAGAGGCAGAAATCTCTCAGAACAAAGGAGCAGTGATTAGATTGAGGAGTTCTCCACCACAGTAGAGGCTGCGGGGAGCAGAGGGGCTTTCGGGTGCTAGGGAAGGTGCAGGACTGAAGACTTTCTGAGTACCAGCAACAGCACCTGTGTCCCAAGAGAAAGGGACTTGTGAAACTGAGGTGTGGTTTTGCAGCCCTGTGGGCAGAGGGATTCAGAAGTCAGAGGCCAGCTCCTACTAAGTTAGAGCCTTGAGAGCTACAGGGCATGGAGTGGGGAAAGGCCTCACACTCCTGAATGGAAAGGCTGGTCCTCGTGCTTGTGCAGCCAGGTTCTCAATAGAGAAGCCAATGGAAGCCGTCATCACCTGTGATCAAGGAGTCATCATCATGATCTGAGAGCCCCATGTCATTTTCAGTCAAAGATAATAAAAGTAAGAAAGCAAGACATCGTCATAAAGAACAGCAGAACCCTTCATGGTGATTCAGACTGTTTTTTCTATTTTAGAAACAAAGTAGAAACAGAACTTTAGTTACCCAAGATGAGTGAGTCCTAGAGAGCTGGTGCCAGTGGCTCACGCCTGTAATCCCAACTGCTTAGGAGGCAGAGATCAGGAAGATCACAGTTCAAGGCCAGCAGGCAAAAGTTAATGAGACCTTATCTCAAAAAATACCCAACACAAAAAGGGATGGTAGGGTGGCTAGCAAGCGTGAGGCCCTGAGTTCAAACCCTGTTACTGCCAAAAAAAGAAAAAAATAAGTTCTAGAGAGTTGTACAGCACAGTGCCTGTAGTTATAATGCTGTGTTGCAAAAATTTTAGGTAAAGTCGATTTTATATTGTGTATTAGGCATACCTCAATTAACTGGTTTTTAATTTAAAAAAAAAAAAAAAAAAAAGCCCTGCCCAGGCACATTATGGCTCATGCCTATAATCCTAGCTATTTGGGAGGCTGAGATTGGGAGGATTATGGTTTGAGGTTGGTCCAGGCAAATCGTTCACAAGACCCCATCTCCAAAATAACCAGAGCAAAATGGACTGGAAGTGTGACTGAAGAGGTAGAGTACCTGCTTTGCAAGTACAAAGCCCTGAGTTCAAACCCCAGTCCTACCAAAAAGAAAAAAAGCACATTGCATCTGAAGAGAAGAAACCCAGCACTGTCCTCATCAAATAAACAAAAAGCAGGCAATGTAGATTTGGGGGAAAATAAATAGAGCCTTTGAAAATGAAATACAGTAATACAATAACCAAAATTTGGAAATTCCAAGTTTTAACAGCAGGTTGTATATATCAGAAAAAGTCTGGAAGGAAGGAAGATGTCAGGAAGCATGATGAGGAAAGAAGATTCAATGAGGTCAGGTCCATTTTTAGGGGTGTGTGTGCTGGGGCCTTGTACATGCTAGGTACAAAAGAGACTCAAAAGCACCAGGGAAAAAGCAGAGCTGGGAAGGAGCAGTGGTGAAGCTGATGCTGATCTTCCCGTAGCAGGGGCAAAGACCACGGGCTGAGGATGGTGCTGGAAGGAATGGCCCCTACTGGAAGCACTTGCATGGGGGAAGACTCCATCATAGATGCTAGTGTCAGAGGTTAAAGGATGTACCTCAGTCAGAGGAGAGTGATCTCACGTAGGGATGTCTGCCATATGGAAGTAAACTGACCAGTAGAATTATAACTCTAATCTTAAAGAGTACAGGGTTGAAGTATAGCTGACTGGTAGAGTGCTAGCCTAGCATATGGGAAGCCCTGGTTTCCATCCCTATAGCACTACCAAAAAAAAAAGTATGTAACCTGTATACTATTGCAGTTGTCCCTTGGTATACACTCTAGGACTTCTAGGACATCCCTACTCCCACAGACACCAAATTCCAGAATGCCTGAGTCTCTTGTATAAAATGGCTATGCTGTATTGTTTAGGAAATAATGAAATGACAAGGAAAAAGAAGTCTTTATATCCATATCAATGCCATGGTTACACTCCTCAGGTACGGATCCCAGAGATGGAGGGCCAACTATGTAAGGAAACCAAGATTGGAAGCATCTATTTTAATGTGCAGGAGAGATGAGTGACTACTGTGTTTTTGCTTTTTTAAGTTCCTGATATTGTTCAGGAAGAAGCTAGCAATCAGTTAGTATTAGAGATTGATAGAATCAACTGTGTGAAAACTTTAAAGGGAACTTAGGAAGCTATAGTAATTTAAGCAGTGGTACTGGTACAGAGGTACAGATGAATCATCAGATGGAGGATGTGGACATAAAGCTCACCTTGCCCAGAATGCTGTCAGACAGGGAGAAAAGAGTTGTGTCTGGAGGGCCAGATAGCCAGAGGCTGCAGGACTTCAAGGTGGAAAACCACAAGTGAAAGCTTTCAGATAGAAAGTACAGACTATTTTTGACCTTGGGCATTTAAAGTAGAGTAAACACAAATTGTAAAAGATTGAGAATTGATAATAGACCACATGAAATTAAACATCTGAGCAATAAGATTCCCAAATAATAAAAATAAGCCACCAAGCCAGGAGCATAGTAGCACCCAAATGACACAGCTTGTGGATAAATGAGCAAATGACCTCAAGAGGAAACTCACAGGAGAAACCTTTATGACCCAGTGGCCTGATTTCAGTGAACACCAAATTTAAGAAGCTGGCAAAACCAAGTTTTGGCCAGGCATGGAGACTCATACCTATGATCCCAGCACTTGGGAAAATGTGGCAGGAGGATGAGAATTCAAAGCCAGCCTGGCTACATAGCAAGACCCCATCTCTAAAGGAAAAAAAATAAATAAAGATTTTGTCTAGAGTGTAGGTAGGAAAGCATTGTCCTTGCGGAGAGTATGGATGAATGGATGTGGTTTGGCTCTTCACTGTGGACATGGCTTCACCAGCAGTCTGGCCGTCCTGCCTAGGCCATGGGCACAGGGTAAGAAGATTGTTCACTGCAGCCTTATATGAGCTAGTGAAAAGCTACAAGTAACTCAGGTAACTGGGAATAAGTTGTAGTGTATGAAGACCCTGGAATACTATATAGCTTTAACTTTGAAAATACCATTTGGGTAAAACATTTCCTCAGGAGCCATTTACTTCTGGGGAGGAAGGAAAGGAATGCCACAGTGAAGATTTTACAATGGCAGGTGTTATATTTGCCACCTCAGGGCTGGGAGTGTGGCTCATGGTTAACAGTGCACTTAGCATGCTTAAAACTCTGAGTACCATCTCTAGCAACACCCCAAAGAGAAAGTTTTGTCACATCAGAGTTAGTGGGTGAATAAATATGGGTGTACTATTGAATGTAGAAAACAAAAATATTTTATATAATAAAATATTTAATTTAGATTGCATGCAGCTCAGTGGTGGAGTGCTTGCCTCGCATGTGTAAGACACTAGGTCCCACCCCAGCACCACAAAAAAAAAAAAAAAAAAAGATCACAGTAGACATGGGATTGAAGTTTAATGTTGGTAACTTAGTAGAAATAACCCCTAATTTTCCAACTTTTCTTTCTTTTTTTTTTTGCAGTATTGGGGCTTGAACTCAGGCCTTATGCTTGCTAGACATGTGCTCTACTGCTTGATTCAGTCCATCAGCCACCAACTTTTCTTTTTTTTCTTCATTCTGTGTATCTGAATTCCAAATAACCATTTGGTTCTACCTGAGAGCAACAGAGTTCTCATGCAGTACTTGTCCTGAGATTCTGTATAAGGATGTTTGAAATGCAGAAAGAGCTCCATATATGAATGTTCATTGCTGGGTTACTTTTGATCATGGGAAATTGACTGTAGTGTTTTTTAAAAATAGGAATGGGTGCTTAACTGAGTTTTTTTGAGATAGCAAGGCCATGACATGAGCTGTTGTGGGAGAGCATGCCACGGTGTCCTGCAGGGCAGAGTATGAGTGACACAGGAGGGCGTGGAGGTGGGCACAAGGTGTCAGCTCAGTCCAGAAAGGCCATGACAGGTTGCGGGAAAGAAACTTGCCTCCTGAGGAGCTCCATATGGGAGAATACCAGAGGCCCCTTTATTTTTTGTTTTTGTTTTTACTTTTGCAAAAAGCATCTTTACCAAATGTTTGCATAATATTGTTACTTCCCTAATGGTCATTTTTAAAAATTTGTCCAAGCCTAGATTTGAGTTCTGTTTTTAAAACTTTGTTTTCTACTTTCCCTTTAGAGAAATAACGGTCTGTTTCTACTTTCCCTGTGTCTGACACAGTTCTTGATTTTGTTCCACCTTGGTACCCTTCTATGAGAAAAGGGTCATTTTTCCACGCACACAGGAGGAACATTGGGAAATGAGAAAAGCACAGAGACAGCACCACAGTGACCCCTGTGGTCTGCACTGTCCCTGCAGATCCTGTCTATCTCCGTGTCCTCCCTGTTGTGATTCCTCTTGTCCTCACGTCATCGTCACATGTCCATTCAGTCTGGATGGCTGCCAGTGATCTCAGTGATGAGGAGATCCAGCCTTGGTTTTTGAACCCTTGGATGTACTGTGGGGTGAAAGTCGCCACAGGTCTCTAGAACATGCTGTTAGCTTTAGTGTGTGCTCTTCTCATCTTTCTCCAGCTCTGTCAGGAGTTTGGGATGATTTTGTTTTTTAATTAAGTTATAAATGAAGTAAAGCATACTGAACTTTTGTTTATGTAAAAACATATAAAAGTACAATTGAGCGGGGGCTGGGGGGAGTAGCAATACTTTAAACTCAGGGCCTCATGCTTGCTATGCAGGCTCTCTGCCACTTGAACCACCCCTATAAATGCCAATTCAGTGAGTAATCACCTCGTTTTATTTCCATTACCCCTATAAAGGCTGGGCATGGTGGTGCACATCTTGTAATCCCCACACGGGTAAGGCTGAGGCAGGAAGATCCTAAGTTCCAGGCCAGCCAGGCTGCATGGTGAAACCCTGTCTCAAAAACAAACAAACAAAAAACCCCAAAACCACACCCCTATAAATTTCCCAGAGTATGTAAGTCCACAGCTTAGATTTTACATACATACCTACCCATGTGATTGCTACCTAGGACAAAATGGAAAAATTTCTAAAGTTCTAGATAAGGAACTCAGTTTCCCCCATTCAGAGATGTGCACACTTTCTCGTAAGTTGTCAGGGCCGGCTGTTTTGCATACTGTGGTGCTGAAATCTTCCTGAAGTCACTTGTCTTTGTAGGTAGCCTACAGTTGGGCTTGTTTCTGTCATACCGAGCATTCATACTCACTCATACGAATTCTCTCTCTCCTCTGGTGCTCTGCCTATATCCCCCAAGTTGCAAATGTTCTCTTGCAGATCTGGGACACAGCCGGTCAGGAACGGTTCCAGTCTCTTGGTGTGGCCTTCTACAGAGGTGCAGACTGCTGCGTTCTGGTGTTTGACGTGACTGCCCCCAACACGTTCAAAACTCTTGATAGCTGGAGAGATGAGTTTCTCATTCAGGCCAGTCCCCGGGATCCTGAAAATTTCCCTTTTGTTGTATTGGGAAACAAGATTGACCTTGAAAACAGACAAGTAAGTGCAAAAGATGGCAGGAGTTGTCACAGACACCTGCTCCTCCCATGCCTTTGGATTTGGAGGGTTCTCTATTTGACCTAGATGGTTTGGGAAGGTGCTGGTGGGAGAGCTCATCATCCTGGGGGGTGCCCCCCTCAGCCCAGCCACCTTTTGAGAATCTGGGTCAGCTGGCTTGGTTTTAAGTCCCCAAGGTGCCCCCAGCCAGCCATTGCTCCCTGAGCCTAAATTCCCTTTCTGCATTCTGAAGGGGAGGGAGTTAGGTTTTGTCATTCTCAGAGGCCAGCATGGGTCTCCATGTATGCAGATTGCTACGGGCTTTGAATAGAATCGCTCTGTTGTGTTTTCAGACATTTCTGCTGGAAACATATTCTTTCATTAATTATACCTGTTTATTTCTGACCATCTTCCTCTTTGCCCCTTCCTAAGACTTAATGCTTGTCTCTTGGCTGAAGTGGGTGGGGAGGGGGAAGGAATGAGAATGTGTGAGGCACAAGAGTTATGGAATCCTGCCACAAGTGTGTGTGACCCAGGTGCAGGAGAAAGCATTGCAACACAACACCAAGCTGCTGGGGACTCAGGAGAGACAGTTCCCTTCCTACTCCACTGCTCTTGTTCCTTCACAAATGGCTTTGAGTTTGGATTTGGATCCCAGCTGTGCTGATAAGAGCCAGCATAGTGACTTGGCAGGTCTGCCCCACATCCTCACTCCAGCTGTTTTCTCACCTGTGTACTGCAGAACAGGGATGTGACCCTTCCTGGGAGGACTGATTCAGTGCCTGCTGCATATGTTAGGAGTGCACATATGCCCTGCTTTTCCCCTTGCAGGTGGCTACAAAGAGGGCACAGGCCTGGTGCTACAGCAAAAACAACATTCCCTACTTTGAGACCAGTGCCAAGGAGGCCATCAATGTTGAGCAGGCCTTCCAGACAATTGCAAGGAATGCCCTTAAGCAGGTAAGTCTTCAGGCTCTGCAGCTGTCTGGCACCCTCTACTGATGGTCTGGCACTGATCAAGCCCTGCCTGGTATTTGTCTTTGATCATATGTGCTTATCTGGGAAGGCAATGGTGTGTTCCACCTAAGTCCCAGGAGATCCACTCTTGTGGATCTGATGACATCAGAGTCATCTGATGCCAGGAGGCCCCTGACCAGATTGCTGCTTCTGTTTAAACACCAGCCAGCCCTGCTATCACTTGTTAGATCTTGTTTTGTTGGTGGTGCGACTGGGATTTGAACTTAGGGCTTTAATCTTGATCCACACCCCCAGTCCATTTTGCTTTGGTTATTTTGGAGGTGGGTTTTCAGAAACCATTTGCCCGGGCTAGCCTTGAACCTTGATCCTCAATCCTCCTGATCTCAGCATCCAGAGTAGCTAGTATTACAGGTGTGAGACACCAGTGCCCACCTAGATCTTGTTTTTATTTGTTTAACTTTTTTTTTGGCAGTACTGGGGTTTAAACTCAGGGTCTCATGCTTGCTAGGCAGGCAGTCTACCACTTGAGCCACTCTGCCAGCCCTTTTTTGTGTTGGGTGTTTTTAAGATAGGGTTTCATGAACTGTTTCCTCGGGCTGGCCTGGAACTGTGATCCTCCTGATCTCTGCCTTTCAAGTACCTAGGATTACAGACATGAGCCACTGGTGCCCGCTTAGATCTTGTTTTTAAAGTCACACCTGCACTTTTGTCCTTCACCTGCTTTTCAGGGAGTGGCAGTGATTACATGAGGTGGACGCACTCGACTCATAGACCAGGAAGCCCCTTTTCCCTGGGATACCTAAGGAATACAGACAAGAAGTAAAATGCAGGAAAACTCCTGTGATGTGAGCTCTGTGTGCAACAATATATTAAGGCAGGTCATGAGGTAGTCACATGTGATACAGTAGGTGTGGGGCTGCAGAGAACACTTAGGAGCCAGGTGGTAGCTATAAAGGACAAGGCAGGTTCTGCTGTTGATAGCATTGGTTCTCAGCTGGACAGGACATCTGGCTATGTGGGTGGGAGATATTTGGACAGGTTGTTCCAACAGAATCTTGGCATGAAGTAGCTGCACAAAGTGCTGTGTGATGAAAGGGACAGGCCTGCCCAACGAGGTTGGGCACTCAAACACCAGGAGAGACCCTCCAGGAAACAGTCTACAGGTTGACTTCCATGCAAACCTGGGACCCTCCTGCACAAAAACACTTGTAGGGAAGTTTTTTCCACCTATCCTTTGTTGACCAGCATTGCTGTCAGTTTCTCCCTTACCCTAACTGTTCCTACAGCCTTGCAGTACTCGGTGATTTGAACTAAGCTGGTTCAAGTGCAGGATGTGTTTCATCACTAAGAGATGATGCCAGGTCGCTTTCTCCGGAGAGCTAGCCACCAGCTCCATCTTAGCAATGTGGGTTTTCTTTCTCCTGCCTTTCTACCAGCAAGAGATGAGCGTCATCTGTAACTGATACTGTGGCAGGCTCTGGGCATCAGTTGCTGCTTTTGGGGCCATTGTCCTCTGAGCTTCTCTCCCTGGGTTGGCTACTGGGTTCCCCTGGGTGATGGCCACCACATAGCACTTGGGAGGGCCTGTAGAAGTTCTCATCAGCTCTGATTGAATTAAAATTAACTTCACCTTCCTTCCAGGGGACTTTTCAAAGTCTGGTGGCTTTTTTTTTTCTTGCAGTACCAGGGTCTGAACTTGGATTTGCACTTGCTAGACAGGTGCTCTGCTTGAGTCACACCTTCAGCCCCTCTGCTGATTTTTACATCTTTCAGCCATAGAAAGTAAGTCATCTGCCAGGCCCCAGTGGCTCATGCTGTATGTAATCCCAGGTTCTTGGGAGGCTGAAATCAGGAGGATTGCACTTTGAGTCAGCTTGGGCAAATAGTTCACGAGACCCCATCTCCAGAATTGCCAAAGCAAAATGGACTAGAGGTATGGTCAAGTAGTAAAGTACCTGCTTTGCAATTGTGAAACCCTGAGTTCAAACCCAGTCCCATCAAAAATAAAATAAGTAATCTTAGCCAGGCATCGTGGTGCACACCTCTAACCCCAGCAATGGGGAGGTTGAGGCAAGAGGATTGTGAATTTGAGGACAGCTTAGGCTACATACTGAAGTCTGACTTAAAAAATATGAATGTGTTATTCTGTAATCCAGCTGGAATTTGCTTTGAGTTGTGGCAAAGGAATAGGAACACGCCTTTTTATTTCAGAGAACTAGCCAGTTTTTCCAATATTAGTAAGTATTGTGAAATAAATCTTTTCCTCCACCCTGTTGAGCTGAACCATGACCTGTGTTAATTTTGTTGCATTTCTGCCTTTTCCTCCCTTGACACCCCCTCCCCCAAGTAAAATCCTGCTGAAATTTTTTTCTGTTTTGGTGCTGGGATCAAACTTACCATCTCAGGCATGCTAGGCAGGCTCCCTACCACTGATGGGCTCCATCCCAGCCCATTCTGGTGAGATTTTTGTTGGATTGCATTAGTCTTGGGCTGCCATAAGATAGTACCACAGATGGTGGTATAAAGAGCAGACATCTTACTTTCCTACAGTTCTGGAGACCAGGATTATGGTGCTGGCAAACTGGATATCTGGTGAGGGCTGTCTCTCTTCCTGACTTCTGTATTCTCACAGGGACTGCCCTTGAGAGGGCAAAGGCCAGCAGGCCCTTTGGGTGTCCCCTCTCAAGAAGAGCACTAACCCTGTGGGACCAAACCTTACTCAGATAACCTAGTTTAACCTTTATTATTCTAAACAAAGCACACTGGGGTTGGGTCATCAGCACACCAAGTTGGGGGGTGGGGAGAGGGGGCACACCATTCTGCCCACAGGAGCTATTATTTTAGGTTTCACTTTATATCGTTCAGTAAGGTAATTTCTCGAACCCTTTGCCTTTTATGTTAAATGTATTCCTAGGCACTAGTGGGAAATACAAAATGTTGCTATCTATAATAGGCAAAAAGTAGAATCACCTCAAATATCCCACCAACTGATGAGTGAATAAACAAAAGTGGTTTGTCATGTGCTAGATGTCCTTCCACCATAAGAAGGATGAAGCACTGATGATGATGCTGCGTGGAGGCCAAGTGAGGGAGGCCAGTCGCAGAAGACCCCAGAAGTGTGTGGGGCTGGAGTGCAGCTCAGTGGCACAGTGCTTGCTTAGCATGTCTGAGGCTCTGGCTTCGATCCCCAGCACTGCCAAAAGAAAAAAAACCATTGAGACAGCAGCCTGGGTGTGGGGTGGCTGCTAATGAGCACAGGATTGCTTTTTGGGGTGATTGAAGAGGACAGTAAATACACTACAACCACTATTGTGCACTGTATGATACGTAAGTTACACCCCAGTAAAGCTTTTATTTTTTTTCTTAAATATGTATTTCCAGGTGCTTTCTACTTTTATAGCTATTCAGTACTTTCTAAAGAACTTTTTTTGTGGTTCTGAAGATGGAAACCCATGCTAGGCAAGCTGGTCTACTACTTGCTGTATCCCTGCCCTAGAGAACTCTGGATGAATAGAAACAGACCCTATAGTATCTTCAGAGCTGAGAGTGGTGGCTGGCACACAGGTACTCTGTGATGGTGTTACACAGTATTTCCTGCACCCAAACTTGCAGCCCTGCTTCTCACTGGAAACAGGTTCCTTCAGTATCAGGTCCCCACTCTGGTCTCATCATATGGGGAGTGAAATCACCTGCAGGTCTCCTCTGCTCCTGAACCTGCAGCGTTTGAGAGGCAAACCTCTATCAGACCTTGGGGAGAAAAGGAAAGTACACTGTGCACTATCAGCCCAGAAAAATGAGTGGGAGGCTGGGTGCTAGTAGCTCATGCCTATAATCCTAACAACTTGAGAGGTTGAGATTGGGAGAATTGTACTTTGAGGCATCCGGGGCAAATAGTTCGTGAGACCTCTATCTCCAAAATAACCAGAGCAAAATGGACTGGAGGTGTAGCTCAGCTTTGTAAGTGCTAAGAGTGGGAGGTGGGGATATAGGGGTACTCTGGGACCCAGATGGTATCAAGCATGGCTCCAGCCCCTCACCTATGGGAACTCTGGCCAAGGGTTGCAGGAATCCAGATCATGGTAAGTCACTAAGTACTGGCAACTTTATAAGCCATACAGAAAGCATCTGTCAGCTGGATGTGGTCTTTGAGCCACCTGACTCCGTCCTCACAAAGCATGTCTACTTCTACATGTCCTTCCAGGACGGTTAGGCTCTGTCTCTACTCCCTGCTGTGTCTGGGCAGAGGTGTGCCACTCTAGGGCAGAAAGGGCCCAAGCTGAGAACTGCAATGTCCCTATTCCTGAATCACCAACCTTTCTCTTTCTTGCTGTCCAGGAGACAGAGGTGGAGCTGTACAATGAATTCCCTGAACCCATCAAACTGGACAAAAACGACCGGGCCAAGGCCTCAGCAGAGAGCTGCAGTTGCTGAAGGGGCAGTGAGTGCAGAGCACAGAGTCCTTCACAAACCAAGAACACACGTAGGCCTTCAAACACAAGCCCCTCCTCTTCTAAACAAAACAGAAAGTGATCTCTCACATCCAGCTGCCAAAAGAAGTCCCACCAAACACGGTCCCCACATATACACAACACAAGCAGACAAACTCCAGCCCATGCCTGCAAGGGCTCCTGGAGTCAGCCACCCACCCTATGTGTGGCAACAGGACGGGTGCTGTAGACCCCGCTCTGGTGTGCAATCAGCATTGGAAGCTTATTGTTTTTGTCCACTGGAGAGAGAGAACTGTTTACAGTTAATCTGTCTAATTAGTTATCTGATTTTTTAATGGTCTTGTGGTTCCCGTCCTGTCCCCCTCCTTTCCTCCCCCAAAGGTCCCCTTGGGAAGGCTGGTGCCCATGCTTCATTACAGGCTCACACCCAGTCTGGTCAGGCTGAGTTTTGTATGTATCTGTTAATGCTTGTTACTTTTAACTAATCAGATCTTTTTACAGTATCCATTTATTATGTAATGCTTCTTAGAAAAGAATCTTATAGTACATGTTAATATATGAAACCAATTAAAAAATGTATAAATTAGTGTGAGGAATTCTTGGATTATGTGTTTAAGTCCTGTAACGCAGGTGTGTAAGGCGGAGGGTTGGACCCTGTCTGGATTGCAGAGTGTAAAGAGATGCAGAATTTGGAAATCCAGCTGGCGGCAGTATTGTGTACAGCAGACACAAGAATTACGTACGCCTTTTATCAAAGACTTAAGAGCCAAAAAGCTTTTCATCTCTCCAGAGGGAGAACTGAACTAGACAGTTCCTTTCTGTGTCTAAATTTTCCAAAAGGTTGATTTGCATAATACAGTGGTGTGTGCAATGGATAATGGCTGTTATTTCAGAAATTAAAATTCTCCCCCCCCCCTTTTTTTCCCTTCTCCACACTTCAGAACTCCCGTTTGATCAGCACCCTAGTTAGATCAGCACCCTACTCTCCGAGGAAAGGAGAGCCCTAGCAGACCTGTCCTAGTGACTCTACCTTTGTTCTAGAAGGCGCTCCTTTCAGGGTTGTGGTGTCCTAGGTTAGCAGACCTTTTCCTTCTCACCTCCCCGTGTGGCCCAGCACTAGTCACCTGTCTCTTCAGTTGAGCCCTGGCAGCCCTGCTCCCTCCCTAGGACCTGCCCTGCATCCTGGCTTGCTTGATGGAGCACTTCCCTTTGTCCAGAGGTCTATGTTCTAGGGTGTGGGCCGAGTTCTTCTGTAAAGAGATGAACGTGATGCCAATAAAACTTAACAAGAACAAAGAATAGCTGCCTCTGCCCTGTCTTTTCTCCTTCCTGTAAACTGTTGACACTCTGGAGACAGACGGTAGCTGGTCACAGCCAGTGCTCATCAGGCAGAAGTGCCTCTTGTCACTGAGCCCTTCAAAGCAGCCCTTTAGTACCTGCCCTGGTGTTGTCTTTCTTTGTAATCTCCGTATTGGAGAGTCGGCTCCTGAACAGAGAAAGCATCGTCCCTCTGTAGTTGTACCACAATGGCTGGCCACTCCTGGCCATGTCTTGCCACAAGTGTGACCCCGTGTGTGTGTGTGTGTCTACAAGTGTGACCCCGTGTGTGTGTGTGTTGTGTGTAAGTGTAACCCCGTGTGTGTGTGTGTCTACAAGTGTAACCCCGTGTGTGTGCGTGTGTACACAAGTGTAACCCCGTGTATGTGTGTACACAAGTGTGACCCCGTGTGTGTGTGCAAGTGTAACCCCTTGTGTGTGTGTGTGTACACAAGTGTAACCCTGTGTATGTGTGTACACAAGTGTGACCCCGTGTGTGTGTGCAAGTGTAACCCTGTGTGTGTGTGTAAGTGTAACCCCGTGTGTGTGTACTGTACAAGTGTAACCCCGTGTGTGTGCTGTGCAAGTGTAACCCCGTGTGTGTACACAAGTGTAACCCCGTGTATGTGTGTACACAAGTGTGACCCTGTGTGTGTGTGTGTACACAAGTGTAACCCCGTGTGTGTGTGAGAGAGACAGAAGAGAACGAACTGGCTTAGTTGCTAAAAGGTGTCACATAGCACTGCACTTTTCACAAAAGAGGAAGATTGGGTCCCCAAGGACCTGTATCCTGACATATAAGACATGATGGGGCTTAAGGTGGGCCTCCAGTGGTAAAGCTCCTGCCTAGCAAGCATGAGGCCCTGAGTTCAAACTCCAGTACTACCAAAAAAAGGAAGAAGATCGTTCTAAAAGAGGAGCCACCTGGAAGCATTTTTATAAAAATAGCAGTTCAGCAGTTGGTTCCTCTAGGTTGTGCCAACATGCCCACTAACTTAACCCCTAACATCTCCTGTGCTTCTCAGACTCCCAGTACTTGATTTCTTCCTGCCTCCTCTTGGCCCATGCTTCATGTGTGAAAGAGCATTCCAGCAGCAGTCACAGTGGTGTGTACCCTGCATTCAGCTACTCGGGAGACTGAGGCAGGATTACTTGAACCTGGGCATTGGGGCCAGCCTGGACAACACAGCCAGTCCCTGTGTCAAAACAAACGAAACACAGACCTTTCCAGGTCATGCTGATGTGTAACAAGAGTTGAACTGATAAAAATACTTTCTTTGAGCAGGGTGTACTTGTACCCATGTAATCCTAGCAGTGGGGTGGCTATATAATGTGTAAGGCCCATTGCTAGTTCCTAAAACACAGAAGTTTGGCCCTTAGGAGAAATAATAAAGGCATCTCCAATGTGTGCTCCAGCCCTCGCCGCCACCAAGTTGCAACCCTGTACATATTTTGCTTGACCCACTTTCCAACTGACATGTTTTGTCTTTTCTATTGGGGATTGAGATTGCTAGAAACTACCACTTGAGCCAGTCCTCCAACCAGTATTGTTTCATTGGAAGTTCACACTCCAAATCCACTTTTCTAGCCTCTTTTTAAAAATTTGAAGAAAACATAATGATTGCTTTCCTGAATTTCTCAGTAATGAGTAATTGAGCTCTGACTTCATTAACCACCTCGGGGCGGCGGGGCCGGGGGTGGGGGTTGTGCTGCCAGTGTGGCTCAGAAGTTCAGCACTTGCCTAGCACGGGGGAGGCCCTAGATTCCATCCCAGCCCTGCAAAAACGAGATAAACTGACTGGTTTCAGTGATTGATAGTGACAAGTGAGTGGAGTGGGCTTGCTTCTGGAGACCTGCCTTGTGAGTGGCCACAGTTTCTCTGTGACTGCCGGGTTTCCTGGCCATTTGGAAGATATGGAAGTTTGGAGGGTATCTCAAGAGCCTGGTATGCCTTGTCCATGGCCCTTCCTGGGCCCCCTCCTCTTAACAGAAGTCCAGCCTCAGTGCACATCACGGGGCTAGGGGTGTGTGTCTCCTGCTAGCCTCTCATATGCCAAGCTGTGCTACTGGCTATACCTTCAGCCCCTCAGTATATGTATTTTTGCTGGAGTTCTCAGAAACCAGTCCTGGAATTTTACCTTGTTAGAGCCTAGTTGTGGATCATTGGGGAATTTTTACTCCCTATTGTAGACCAGGAAGAGAAAGGGTAATGGCCATAAAAGCATCCCTTGCTTGGGTTGAGTGTGGTTCAGTGCTACAACACATCAACATGAGGCCCTGACTTTGGAAGGAAGAATCACTGCTGAGCTGAGGTGGTGGGTTCAGTAGTTAGAGTTCCATCTGAATCTGTGGCTCCCCCCACTCTTTTTGCACTTAAGGGCCTTGGACTTGCTAGACCAGCGCTCTTCCACTCGAGCCACACCCCCAACCCTGTACAGTGATTTCTGCCTTCAGAAGCAGGGTAGACTTGCATTTTGAAAAAGTGCTGGTGTTCTCTGGTCGCCTCTGTACCCCAGGAGGCCTGTGGGGAGTGTGAAGGATGGGAAAACAGTACCATCTTCCCTGCCATGGAATAAAAACCTCCAGTCCTGTGATAGCAACTTCATGTGGAAAGTCCCAGAACCCTGTTCTGGTCACTGATTCTGTCGCTACTTCTCCTAGAAGAAGAAAGCTTCTGAAGCAAGTTCACACGCCATGACCAAGTGAGATTTATTCCTAGAAAACAAGGATGGTTTAAGCAACATGGCATCAGTAGAAAAAGAAAACACAATAACCATGTGATACAGAAAGCATTTGACAAAATTCAACAGCCCTGAGCTGCTGGAGTGGTTCAACTGGTAAGAGTGCCTGCCTAGCAAGCATGAGGCCCTGAGTTCAAGCCCCCAGTACTGCCATGTTTTTAAGAAAAAAAACAAAACTCACAAATCTTGATGTCCAGGCCCTACCTTCTGCGTGTTTGTCTCACCTGGCCAATGTGAGTGCACAGCAGAGTCTAGCCAGGGGTTCCACATCCCCAAATCCTTGGCCCTGTGAGACAACAGGTTGGACAAGAGAGATATTAGTGGGCACAGAACACAGAAGGTGGTCTGTATTCCTCCTTTGTGCTCCTGTGTAGGAAAGGAATCCTGTCTTGTTAGTGGTTTTTTCTTTTTGTTTTGTTTTTTGTTGTGGGACTGAAGATTGTACTCTGAGCTTTGCACTTACAAAGCAGGTGTTCTATTACTTGAACCACAACTCCAATCCAATTTGCTCTCATTTTGGAGATGGGGGTCTCATGAACTATGTGCCTAGGCTGACCTCAAACCTTGATCCTCCTGATCTGAGCCTCTCAAGTAGGATAATAGGCGTGAGCTATCAGATCTTACGTCCCGCACGAGCTTGTCCTAGAACCCTGGGGACGATGGGAAATGCTGAAAAGACAACAGACAGAAGACCAAATGCATAAAGCTGGGACCAGGTAGGCTGGGTGCCGGGATGGAGACACACCAGCCCCTCCACCTCCAGTGAGTTTATTATATACAATGGAAACACGAGGTGGAGAGGCAATTCTCCAGGGAGGGGCGTGACACCGTGATCCTTGGGAACAGGAGGAACTTGTGACAGCTTCTCTCTGAACGTAAACATCTTAGGAAAAACAGCTGTACTGCATCTTGCCCACTTCAGCTGAGGCTGTGCCAATCAAGGGTGCAATTTTACTGGTCATAACTATACTTGCTCCCCTCTGCGGTTTGGAGCTGTGCCAAACTCAAACACGTAGCTTATTCTATACACCTGTTGGCTCCCAACAACCAAGTTACTATTATTTTTTAACCCAGAGCCTCATGCTGACTAACGGTCTCTCACGAGAGTCCCTTGCATGTGTGCATGTGTGTGAATATGGTCACTGAGGTTGCTGTACTATCCCCAGACCCTCCGTGTGCTGCCCTGGGGTGCTGCACTGTGCATGGAGACAGGCCCCAGTTGGCACATAAGGCCACAGGGGCCCAAGGCTTAGTAGTAGGTTTCCAGGGCTGTGTGTGACAATCTAGGCAGGCCTGTGGAAGGGTTTTATTTCCACAGTTTTTCTTTAACCTGAGTTCTTAAGACCAATGTTTAAACACACACACACACACACGATTACACATTATAAAACTCTCAAGTCCCACTTTTCTCCAAAATGTCTTGCAGCCTGAGGCTAACATTGTGCTTGGCAGAGCAGTGGGAGCCTCAGTGGCTCCATCACAGGCACACCATATCCTCCCCACATCATCCCTCACAGAGAATTATCTGCCTG